TAATACAAAGTAGAGATCTGTTAGTTTGCATACAACCACACCACCTCAAAGCCCCTTCTATCTCTGTCACATTCTTTCCAAACACAGCTGAATCTCACTACACTTGCCTGCTCTTCCCTAGTTAAGGCTCAAAACCCAGCCTGCCCATGGTGCAGAGCTGTGGTTCATGAAAGAACACATCCTGTACTGGGTGTTTTGTAGCAGTCTATGAAATATGTGGGTTCAACGGCAGATAAATATTACTAATGCCTTTTTATAAAGGATGAACTTTTCAGGGTAGCGATTCATGTAAGTCAGGATCAGAGTACATCCTAGTTTCAGGAAATTGTCAGTTACCCGTCTTAGTCTTCGCCTTAGTATGATGGATAAAATGAATGTATTTATAATGAGGTACACTGCAACTAAGATTCTGATTTATTTGGGTAGTTATTCCTAAAACACATCAATAATTAATGTGTTTATAAGAGATGTCACCTGGTTGTTCTTTTTCCCTTGAACTGTCTCAAAATTTTTATAAACGATTTTATCAAAGGAGTAGAAAAAAGTTTGATCAAATTATCCTTAAAAATGGGTTTACAGCTAGGCAGTGGTGGCAGCAGCAGTAGCGGTGGTGCATGCCTTTAATCCCAGCACTGGGGAGGCAGAGGCAGGTGGATCTCTAAGTTCAAGGCCAGCCTGGTCTACAGTGTGAGTTCCAGGATAGCCAGGGATACACAGAGAAACCCTGTCTTGAAAAGACAAAATGAACCAAAAAATGCATTTACAAGTTTACTGCTTTATTCATATATCACACTCTAAACAGGATTGGAGGCAAGTTAATTCACTAACAGGTGAATAGGTGGAAATACACAAACATTTAAAACATTGATAGTAAAATTGACTTCTAACCTGTAGTCAGGAACAAGGGAGGATCTTAGCTTTGAACAGAGTTGGGATTTGGGAACCTGTAACAAAGAATAGAAGTGAGTAGGGTTGGCTCTTAGGTTGTCATTTAGAGTTCCAACAAGAATGAGGAAAGAAGTGATATCTAGAGTTACCTTTACAGGTCTTTGTTTCCTTAGTCTTCAGAGAGGAGTAAATTAGCAAAAGCTTCTACTCAGTGGACCCAATTTATTTCAATTTGATTTCAGCTTCCTCAGAAGTCAATAATGTGGAAAGTCCAGCACAAAAGATTGACATAATCTAATAACAGATGAGGGTGGCTAGGGTTGAGACAAGAAAGTCTCCCGGTTTCTGCCCTGGCTGTCTCTAGCTTGAGTTTAATGGTTTAGTGAGTTGAAAGGTCTGAAAAGTGTATCAAATGAGGAACATTTGAGCCATTTAGAAATGACAGAAGTATGTGAGGAGCCAAGTACATTATTTCAGAAAAGATTTCTGGTTTTTTTTCTGAGACTTTGAAAGCAAAACTAGGAAGAACTAAAAAACACATTCTTCAATCAGAACTTCCCACACTGAATGGGATGCCTTTGCACATTGAGAGCTCCTTGTAGTCATTGTCCTCGACTGGAATGCTTATTGAGCTGTTCTAAATATTAGGACTACATCAGTGGATAAAATCAATACATATCCTTCTACTAGGAGTAGAGACTTTTTCAATAAATAATAAAACAAACAAATAAAAATATATGTATCATCCATTTATTCACATGCATCTATATAACATTAAAAGATGGCAAAAGATTTTTAAAAGAATGAGAGGAGATGTCACTGGAATGGGACAGAGTTTCATTAAAAATTCCATTGTTAATGGCCAGCATGACAACATATGTTCACGGCTTCAACCGTAGCACAATTATTATGGAGATAACCCACTGCTCTCTGGTTGGATTTCATTTCTGGTACTGTAAATAAGAACCCATGGTTGGGGAGCTCACAGGGTCATCCTACCACTGTTATTCTGCTAAGTGGATACCATATCAAACTGCCCTCTAAATTCATGTTGACCCATAGATTAGTCCAGTTCTGAGATTTCATCAGAGCATTTTCTTTGTATACTGAATGGTGGTTAACACAGAAACTTGCAACTGGTCAAAATACAGAGAATAAACATCAGAGGCATGCTTAGCCACAAATGGGATATCTATACCATACTCTTCCCCCTGAAGGCTTAAGGATCATTGAAAAATAGGGGGAAGAAAGATGGTAAGAGCCAGAGAGATCAGTGAGGATTGAGTTGATACAGTGACTTTTGCACACAGCAGAACCGCTTCACTCTTGAATTCACATGAAAAGACAAAACAAACCCAAAAATGAGTTTACAAGTTTACTGCTTTATTCATATATCACACTCTAAACAGGATTGGAGGTAAGTTAATTCACTAACAGGTGAATAGGTGTCCAAATACAGAAACATTTAAAACATTGATAGCAAAATTGACGTCTAGCCTGTAATCTGGAACAAAGGAGGAACTTAACTTTGAACAGAGTTGGGACTTGGTAACCTGGAACAGGGAATAGAAGAATTCGTGGAGAGAGGAGTTGCTGACACCCCACCCCACCCCTAACTGGGGAGCTGTGGACCATTGTTGGCTTCTGAGGAAAAGAGAGCCAGGTTTCTTTAGAGGTGCAGCCCCTGGTAGGTCAACCATGCTCCAGCTGAAGACCACATACCCAGGAGTATATGGCAGCACAAACTGATCCTAGTGGGTTCTTTTTTAAAGAGGACAAGGAGGGAGTTGGGGGATGTAGGAAAGTGAAGAATGTCTGTAAGGAGGGGTTGGGTGACTGTGAATAAGTATAGTCTAAGACATTCTCAGCAAGTTATAAAATTAAAAGAAAAAAAACTGTTGTTAAGATGGGTTGGCCTCATTATGAACACGGCTGCATGAATCCAATGTTATCCAGAGAAACAGAATCAACAGGGCATATAAAGAAATATACAGAGAGTTTTATTTTTGAGGGGCATGCTCACTCTTATTCAGGCTGGCTTCTCCCATTGCCTGCTTTCTGTAAGCTAGAGGCTCAAGAAACCTGGTGGTATAGTTACAGTACAAACCCAAGGGCTTTGGGACCTGATGTCCAGGGTTGGGGGAAACATGTCTCAGGGGGCAGGTTTGCCTTCTTCTGCCTTGCTTTTCATTTGAGCACTCAGCAGGTTAGATGCTGCTATCCACATTGGAGAGAGAGAAGATCTTTATTTGGTTCACTTATCAAAAGGTTAATTTCTTTCAGAAACACATCCACGGATACAGTCAGAAATAGTGCTTCAGCAGCTGTTTAAGACATTCATTATCCCAGTCAACCTGACATACAGAATTAATCTTCATAATGACACTTGAACAGAGATTTCTGTGAACTATGTGTGGAAGTTATTTTAGAAGGAACATTTCAAGGAGAAAGAAATGCCATGCAAAGGCCTCAGGTGGCTGTGTGCAAGGAAGGAGACTACCATGGAGGTGTTTTGCACAGCTTGGCAGAGTGTTTTTGCAAGGGGATGAGAAGAATTTGTAAGAAATTTTCAAAGAATTGGGAAAATATTTTAAAAGTACTGTTGTTACAGTGGGTTGGGCTCATTGTGAAGGTGACTACATGAATTCAGTGTTATTCAGAGAAACAGAATTGGTAGCGTATGAATTTGGATTACAGAACCTCTCCGGTCAATGCCCTGAGCTGGTGCTTCTCTGATAGCAAGGAATAATTAATATGAAAGGGATGGGAAGGCCAGGTGCTATATTACTCAGGATTCTCTAGAGTAATAGAACTTATAGAATGAATCTCTCTATATATGTCAAAAGAGGATTTATTGGAATGACTTACTGGCTGTGATTCAGCTAATTCAACAACGACTTGCTGTGCATAGAAAGTCCAAGAATCTAATAGTTGCTCAGTCCACAAGGCTTGATGTCTCAGGTGGTCTTCAGTATACTCAGGAAGAATTAGACTCTACTGCCACTGAAGAAATGGACTAGCTAGCAAGGCAAGAGCAAGCAGGCAAAGAGCAAAAGCTTCCTTCTTCTATGTCCTTATATTGGCTTCCAGGAGAAGATGTGGTCCAGATTAGATCTGGTTTAAAAATGTGTCTTTTCCCAGCTCAAAAACTCTGGATTAGAAGTGGATCTTCCTCCTTCAAATTAAGTAAAGGTCTCTCATTTCTTAATTCCATATGCAGTTAAGCTGACAACCAAGAATAGCCATGATAGACACCATGAATAACAGGCATATCAGAACAGGTCTTATGATTCAAATGGTGAAGAGCCAGAAAAAGCAGATAAACATCTAAACATGTTAGATTCTAGCATGTACAGCAACATAGTCAAATATTTAAAATTATCAAACAAACCAAATGCAGTGAGTGTGTTCACAGTGTAGCATTTTAGCCGGCCATACTAGAGAAAGTACAGTCAGTTGAAAGGATGATGATAGAGTACTTATATAAAGCTTTGGGCAGAGATCCAAAGGAAAATAAAAAATAAAAGCTGCACTTTGGGACTCTGACAGCAGTTATTTCCTTGTTATGATTTCACAGAGAAGCTAAAGGCGATGAAACCTATGACCCAGCAGCTCAGACTCTAAGACCACGTCATACTTTACCCTTGCCTGAACAAGAGTCATTTTTGCTATGGTCCTTTGTTTTATTTTTGAGTCAGAGTTTCACTATACAACCTAGGTTGATTTAGATTTCACTATGTAACCCAGACTGGACTCAAACTCTCTGGATCCTTTTGCGTTTATCTGTTGAATGATAGGATAGCAGATATGTTCCACCATCTCTACCTACTCACATGGACCTCTTCCTGCCTGTTGTCAGTAGCTAGGTACAGATTTGTTCTCTCGTTGTTTTAGTATGCGTACTTGCTTGGCATTTAGAGCATTAAAATCAATCAGAGAAAGAAAACATAAGCTCACAACACACTTCTTCAGTTATTTTGTGTCTGTTACATAGTTATAATTATGAAGCTTTGAGTAGAGGCTCAGAATTAATTAACCATGACAGTTAAAGAGAGACAGACTGAATACCATATTGTTTTTCACATATATATTTTTTCTTTTTTGTGCTATAGGTGCCTTCATTTGCAAGATGGTCCCGTTTGTCCAGTGCACTGCCATTGTGACAGAAATCCTCACTATGACCTGCATTGCCATGGAAAGGCATCAGGGACTTGTCCATCCTTTTAAAATGAAGCGGCAGTACACCAATCAAAGGGCTTTCACAATGCTAGGTATGTTTGTCACTTTGTGTCACTGTGACAAAGCATCTGAGTTGAGGAACTCAAACAATATTTATCTTTGCTCACTGGTTCAGTCCATGGTCTCTTGGATATGTTGTTTCTGGACCCTTGTGTGGTGAGGCAGAGCAGGTGATGGGGAGTTTGTACGAGACTTGGGTGGCTTACCTCATGCTAGACAGGAGGCAGGGGGACAGAAAGCAATGGTCTAGAGACAAGAATGCCTTTTAGAATCAAATACTCAATGACTTAAACCTTCCATCCAGACCCACTTCCTAATAGACCATTCAACTCAAGTTTATCAATGGACTAATCTGCCTTTGAAGTTAGAGCCCTCGCTTCTCACATTCATCAGCTGACAACCAAGCCCTTAATTGGGCATCTTTAATGGGCATTTCAGATGCAAAGTGTAATACTAGATACGACCACCAGGTTTGCCAACTCTATGCTAATGCCATTTCTCATTACAGAACAAACCATACCTGTGCACTTTTAAGAGTAGCTTCTCACAATGTGTAAGCATTAGCATGTGATTTGATGGGTTCAGTCTTTTGCATATACCCCGTTGGTTCTCTCCTTTCTGTCTCAATCTTGAAAATGTATCATTTTGAGTATTTTTCAGCTTAAACCCTAAACTTGGAAGCATCACACGGGCCTAACCAATAATAACACATGAGGGACTTGCCACATTAGCATTCAATAGACTAGGAGGCTGCTACTCTGAGGTAGTCTCTAAGCTTACAAGGGCACGTGGATTTTGTCAGAGATCCAAGAAGGTGTTTTTTAAGAAGGCAGAAAAACAAACTACTTTCCTGAAAAATGCCAGGTATTCTGTATCTGTTACAAAGGTCACAGGGTCCTTGGGAGCTAAGGAGAGACCTGGAGATGCCTGACAAAGGCAAATTCTTCCCTTTTCATATTTAATTTCTGAAGATGCTGCATGTTCAGCTTACTGTAACTGTCCCCAGTGAATATGTCGGGACAAACAGCAGAGTTCAGGAAGTGTCCTGAAGGCTAGCACAGCAGAATGGAAGAATTTTCTATTCACAGAGGGTGAAAACGTGATGTACATCATTGTTTGAATCTGTCATAGTTAAATACACAGAGGTACAGTGCACAGCTCACATGACATTGAAGGAGAGAAACTTTGCTAATATTCATGAGAAAGGAATAAGCAGATATTTTTGTTATAGGAATGTACCCAGTATAGGAATGTACAATTCTAGAAAGTACTCCTAAAGTCTTTGCAATATCAAATTTATTTTTAAGCAGTTGGAAGTGAGCAGACAAATCGATAGGGAAAAGAATTCATCAGTTACTATGACATTTATGTCATATCTTCTCTAAAAAGAACTCAAATATCTCTGAGCTTCTGTTAATTAACAACTTTCCAATATAAAAACAATGTATAGGTGTGGAGAGAGTTTAAAAGTAAGGAGTACATGGAGAAGGAAGGCTATTAAAAAAGAGGAGAAATAGGGGTGAATCTCAATGTCATATGATTGTAACAAGCAGTTAAAGCTGTTCCAATTAAAATAATTCAGGGAAGGCACCAATGTTTGAAACCATGTGGGCTGGTGTGCACTCTTTCCTGACATCTCCCTGTCACTTTAACACATGGACCATCCCTGTCAGTCACTGACTCTGTGCCTTCTGCCTGAAACTGCCTAGACTCCAGGTTTACGCTGGGGGAAACTTCCAGGCTTTCTCATCCTGATAATGTAACAAAGTGTATCTGTAATGCTCTTCTAACCCTAACCTTCCTATTTGGAAGGGCCAGGACCCAGTAGAGTTGGTTATGAGCTTAATCCAATGAGACTCAACCCCTCCAGAATTTGCAAGGTTGGAAACATGATTGGATATAAGATAACACTATGCAACCAGAGAGAATAAATGCATGTATTGATGTGGAGGCAGAGACATATGGAAAGACTTGTAAGCCCTTAGAGTAGTCTTGGATCATTGAATCATGGCGATATTCAGTGGGTAATGTTAATTTGTGTATGTCTTTCCAGTGTGCCCCAATCATGGCTTGAGTCTTAGTTCCTTGAAGCTGCAAGTAATACCTTGTTTTCTAAGTAATAGCAAACTAGTAAAGAAAGAACAAAAAGAAGTTTATGCCCTTCTTATCCTGCTAAGATTCATAGACTGAAATGGCCTTTAGTAGTTAATCAATTTTTTTCCTTTGCCAGTGGTACAGAATTGATTTCTCTAAAAAAAAAAAAAAAAAAAAAAAAAACAAAAAAAAAAAACAAAAAAACTCACAAAGGACAGGAAGCTTGGAAAGAATGCTATGTTTTTTGTTTATCTGTGTTTGCTTTATTAATACCCATTTTCTAAATAAGTAAATGGTGCCATATACTAGTGCTCAAGATACCTTTATTTTGAGATTTCTGAGTAAGATGACGACAAAACCCAGTAGCTTCTCTACACACAAATAACAAACTTTGCAAGAAAGAAATCATAGTGAAAATACTCCTTTCACAGTAGGTTCAAGAAATGTAAAATATCTTGGAATAAACCTGACCAAGGACGTGAAAGACCCCTAGAATGAAAACTTTAGGATGCTGAAGGGAGACACTGAAGGAGACACTAGAAGTGGGCAAGTCCCCCTCCCTGTACTCGTTCATTGATGGAGTTAATATTGTGAAAGTGGCTTATGTTATCAAAAGCAATCCACAAATTTGATACAATTTCCATCAAAATCCCACTGACATTTTTCAGAGAACTAGAAAAAGCAGTGTTAAAATTTACATTCACAAATGACCTGAATAGTGAAAATAACCCTGAGTAAACAAGAGCCATACAGGTAACTCAATACCTGACTTCAAATTATATTACAGAGACACATAGGAAAGCAGCCTAGTGTATGCAGAAAGCCAGGCATGTAGTTGACAAGGCACAGAAGACTCAGATAAAATCCACACAGCTACAGCCACTTAATTAAATTTTTGTTACATTTAATTTATTTCATTACACTTTATCAATTTGTATGTGTATGTGTATATAAACATATGCATGCTCATGTGTGCACACGCTACAACCAATGTGTGAAGATCTGAGGACCGTTTGCAGGAACCGGTTCTCTCCTTCCACTGTGTGGGCTTTAGGGCTCATACTCAGGTCATCAGGTTCAACAGCAAGCACCTTTCCTCGCTGAGCCATCTCACTCACTCCAGCCACCTGTCAAAAACATGCATTAGAGGAAAGACAGCTTCTTTAACAAAAGGTGTTGTGAAAAGTGGTTTCTCAATGTGCAAGAGTGAGACTAGTTATGTATCTCTCACATTGTTCAAAAATCAATTAAAAATGGATTAAAGAAGTAAGTGTAAATGCTGGAACTTAGAAAGTTCTGGAGGAAAACACAGTAAACCACTTTGACATATTATAAAATATTCCCAAGAACTGACCAATGTGGTTACATAAAATAACAATCAGCCGAGTCTGCAGGGCAGCCTGCAGGATGGGGAAAAAACCTTTGCCAAGTACACATCAGGTGAGATTAATATCTAGAACATATAAAGAACTGCAAAATTTAAACATTAGAAAAGTTACCCAATCAATTAATGGGCTAAAGAACCCAATAAACAGTTCCCTCCAAAAATCAACACAAGTGGCAAATAGATACTTGAAAAGGTATTCACCATCCTTAGCCATGAAGAAAATACAAATTTGAATTGCTTGAGATTCCATTCCACTCAGAATGGCCATCATAATGAGAAAAAAATGCAACAAGTGCTGATGAGGACATGGGTGAAGAAACACATCACTGCTGTGGGGTGTGAAACTGTAGCTGCTAGGGAAATCAGTCTGGAGCTTTCTCGAGAAAATAGAGCTACTATGTAGAAAGAGCTACCATTCAAATAGAGCTACCATGATATAGAGTTACCATGTGCACCAGCTGTGATACTTGGCTATATTCTATATACTTGAAGGGCTCCAAGTCAATACCCACGAGCATGCATCCATAATTATTGTTTTCATTCACAATAAATAGAAAATGGGAATAACCCAGAAACCCATCAACATATGAAAGGATAAAGATACATGGTGCATTTGCAAGTTGAATTTTTTTCATTCATAAGAAAATTAAGTCTGACATTTGAATGAAAATGAATGTATGATTTAATCATTATGTTAATTTCCTTTTTCCTTTCATGGCCACCTTTTCAGGTTCTCTCTCTCTCTCTCTCTCTCTCTCTCTCTCTCTCTCTCTCTCTCTCTCTCTCTGTGTGTGTGTGTGTGTGTGTGTGTTTCTGTTTCTCTGTCTCTCTCTCACACACACAATTTTCTAGTTTCTAGTGTCTACATATGAGATAAAACATGAGGAGCACATCACTGCTATGGGGTGTGAAACTGCCATCAGCAGGGAAATTAGTCTGGAGATTTCTCAAGAAAAGAGTTCCCATGTGCCCCAGCTAAGGCACTCATCTGTATTCATATACCTGAAGGGCTCCAAGTCAACACGGAAGCAGAATGGATGACTACTGGGGGTGGGAGGGAACCAGCTGGGATGGTTAGAATACTGGGGAGAGCAGTTGGGCAGTGGAACTAATGTATAATGACAACTAGGCCCAAATAATGGAAGGGCCATAATGAAACCCACTTTCTTGAATGTTAACTTTAAAATTAATATAAAGATAAATGTTTTGGGGGTTAAAGAGATTGCTCATCAGAAAAGGAAAAATACTGCTCTTTGAGAGGACCTGATGTCCATTCCATCTAAGTTGAATGGCCTGTAACTCTAGCACCAAGGAATCTGACACCCTCTTCTGGCCTCCATAGATACCTGCACACATGTGGAATTCACTCACACAGATGTATACACATATACATAAATAAAAACCAAAAAAAAATAATAAAAGTAAATCTTTTAAAATGATATATGCATTTTAAACTTGAAGAAGAAATGGTAGAAGATGGTCTGTAATATGTTTAAAAGTTTTTCTTTTCAGGGATGCAGTGATGTCTCAGTGGTTAAAAGCACTGGCTGTTCTTCCAGAGGAGTGGGGTTTGATTAACAACACCCACATGGTGGCTCATAACTGACTTTAATGCTAGTCTAAGGGGAACTGATATCTTCTCCTGGACTCCTTGGGCATCAGACACGTACATGGCATACAGGCGTACATGCAGACAAAATATCCATACACATAAATAAATTTAAATGTTTAAGAAGTTATTCATTGGTCCAACAAACATAGATCAGTTCCTACTAAGGGCTGAGAATTTTCCTTAGATTCTCATTTGGAGAAATGAAAAGAGGATTGTCCTTGTCCTCGAGCATTTCAGGGGAAGTTGAGAAGACATGACTAAGGGTAGGTACAGAATCACTAAAGCAGAGTTCATTTAGAAATGACAGCAATCTTCAAGTCACCTAGGGAAGGTGCCTTCTGCAGTATCCTGGAAACAAGTCCACTGTAGCTAGAGTTTTCCTGCCTGGCCCACAGTCAGGACAAATCTCTCTCACCTGCCAGTCCCACAGCTGCTCAGTCCCGACCAAGTAAACGCAGAGACTTATATTGCTTACAAACTGTATGGCCGTGGCAGGCTTCTTGCTAACTGTTCTTATAGCTTAAATTAATACATTTCTATAAATCTATACCTTGCCACGTGGCTCGTGGCTTACCGGCATCTTCACATGCTGTTTGTCATCGTGGAGCCTGGTAGTGACTCTGACTCAGTCTTCCACTTCCCAGCTTTATTCTCCTCCTTGTCCCGCCTATACTTCCTGCCTGACCACTGGCTAATCAGTGATTTATTTATTGACCAATCAGCAACACACTTGACATACAGACCATCCCACAGCAGTCCACAGATGGACAGTGATGACAGAAAGGCCCACACAAGGTACAAATATGATGTAGAGCAGGACCGGGCATTCTGGGATGTAAGAATGGAAATGAACATTCTTCCCCAGTAGGGTCTAGGTGGGAAGACATTCACTGGTGAAAGGGGGGAAATGAGCATATTATCAGGCTGTTGCTATAGAATTTGGATTTTTACCTTCTAGGCAATTCAGTCATATAAACGAGTTTTTAACACTTAAAAATGTAGGGGCTGGGAAGATGGCTCAGTGGGTAAGAGTGTTTGCTGTGCAAACACAAGGACCCGATACCCACATAAAAAGACAGGCATGGCCAGAAATGTCTGTAACCCCAGCACTGGGGGATTGGGAGACAGGAGGATTACTGGGGTGTGTTGGCCAGCCAGTCTAGCTGACAATTGTGAGCTCCAGCCTCAGTGAGAGACTCTGTCTCAATGCAATACAGTGGAAAGTGCTAGAGCATGACTTTCTGATGTTCTTCTCTAGGATCCTCACACATATGGGAGAGCACACACACATGTGTGTACACACACACACACACACACACACACACACACACACACACACACACACACGCATACACATACAATTAGGATGACCATAAAAAACACTGCTTTCAAAAGCAGAGGAAGGGCAGAGATCCTTTGAGGGGATATTTGCTCTACCCCATAGCAGAGAAGATGGGAGCAAAGGGGCTAGGTATCTTTATGATTAGAGAGTTAAGCACGCATGTAGTTATCCGAGCTATGTTGCATTTTGATAACTGTCTTATTTTTGCAGGTGTGGTGTGGCTGGTGGCCATCATCATAGGATCACCCATGTGGCATGTGCAGCGACTTGAGGTAGACTCAGAGCCGAGATATTTTCTCAACCCTCTTCCCTATGTTCATTCTCCTTCCTTTGAGAATATTATGGTGAATGTATATAACCTCACGCATTTCACTGAAATCAAATGATGTTTTAAAATTCTCTTCTGTTATTTAAATCTACTGGATACTGCACTGTTAATATTTAAAGTTAAAATTACCAAAAAGTAAGTTCCAAAATGACCTTCTCTCCATTTTCTTAGCTTAATGTGTTTTTCCTAGAATATCCCAGTCTTGTTACATGAGAGTTTGGTGACTGTTTTGACTTTATTTATTATCATGATTGTCATCATCATCATTATTATTACTATTATTATTATTTTCTGAGACAGCATTTTTCTGTGTAGTCCTGGACACCCTGGAATTCACTCTGTAGACCTGCTGGCCTTGAACTCAGAGATCCGCCTGTCTCTGTCTCCCGAATGCTGGGATTAAAGATGTGTGCCACCACTACCTGGCTGACTTTCTTTTATTTTAAGTCACTCAAAGCTGTACCAATGGTCTCCTTGCTAGTTGATTTTCCTGTTGTCCTAGCCATTAACTAATTGAAATGTGAATTAGAAACATGTCCAGGTCTTGATTTTCTCCCTCTTCTTTGCCCACATCTTTTGTGAAGTCCTTCCACCATGTGTAGGGATTTACAGTAAAAGAACAGGTTAGGATATTGGTTGTGGACAGCTTAGTCTGTCTGCTGGAATGAACATTAGCATGGTTTGTAGTGTAACACAGACATTAGTCTTCAAAGACGATAGAACATCCATCATGAGCCTGGAATATACTTTATAAAGCAATATACTCCTTTGTACCCTTAAATAGAGCTAGGCGGATCTGAATCCTTCTGAGCATGCCATATCCCTCACCGAGGATTGCAAATGAGGCCTGAGGTGAAAGTGCATTGAGGAAAGGGTGAGGAGGCTGTCCCAGTGTTAGAGTGCTTACCAACATGTGCACACCCTAATACTAAAAACACAGGGATAAATTAAAAAAGTGTCCCAATATTTTTTGTGTAACTGATATGCTGAGTGAGCTGGCCTCTGTGAAAGCAGAAAGTGGCTTTATTCTGCTGCCACCTATGAAAATGTCACCTGAGAACTTCATAGTGAAATATGGATGAAACTTTGAGCAGGCTCTGCAACTCTTCCAGTCATACAGATAATAAAATTCTTGTGGCTTCTGTCAGTCACAAGAACAGTATCTTCTCTGCTATAAGATGCCGGGGTTAGTGCCACGGTCACATAAAATCATAATAATGATCACTTTAAAATGTGCTCTTCACTCTGGCAGCACACACACTAAAATTGGAGTTATTTAAAATCTTGTCTTTCCCTTAGCTTAAGTGCTTTTAGGCTTCTCTCCACACACTTGGAATCTCTCTCAGGAAGCGATAAAGAGAGGAGAGAGGACTGAGTAAATGTCTTGGTACTGGTGTGGGTGCTGCCCAGGGCTGATGCTTTCTGTCTGGGGTTTCTGATAACACCTTTGAGGTTTTGCCTGTGCCTCCATTCTCCAACCCATTACTTGTTCCAACATCCACCATGGCCACTGCCATCATCGGAAGATGATGCCACCCATACCTTCAGCAGCATGTTTTATAAATGACAAAATCTGGTTCTCAATCCTGGAGCTCCTTCCCTGCCCACAGAAATCAAACAGATTTATCTTCTTAATAAAAGGTCTTATCATCCATTCTAAATATATAAACCATTTAATTTGTAGAAAATGTTATCTGTCTGATCTAATAGGCAATGGCCATGCTTATTGCTAAACGCAGTCAAACCCTATTTGCTTCTTGTCAGGAAAAAGTCAGATTTCAGTTTTGAAGTAAACATATTAATGTGCATCCCAGGACCAAAATCATTTTTAAAACTCCATTAGAGAGAATGCAATTGAGTGTGAGAGTCCAAGCGCGTTGCCGGATGATAGGCAGCATCGAAGCCAGCCTTTCACGCTCTTGCTCTCTTGCTGTTTTCTCTGGGCTCTCCCAGGAGTGAGTTGACTCACAATCTTTAGGAATGGAAATGGGAGGATTCAGCATAAAGTGTCCTTATTTTCCCCTCTTCAGTGAATAAAAATGTGAATTCACAGCACCCCAGACCTCATCAAAACGCCACGTTCCCCTAATTCTGGATTGTCTTGATTAGAAGTTTACTCTGGACAGGGGAATGCGGAAGGCCTGCCCAGTGGATTTGTGATGCCTGGATGAGAGTGGCTTTGGTGCCCTGAGTCGTTTGAGTTGTTCTGCACAGCAAGGTTTGACTTGGATGAGGGATGTGGCTGTCTTGAGCTGGAGTAGGGAGTGACGAGAGGGCAACTGTAGATAGAACTCAACCCCAGCCACAACTGTAAACTGTGGAAGACTAGGGAAACGTTTGCGTGGAAATAACAAAATCAGGGGAGGAGTGCAACTCAGTCAGTGGCAGTGCACTTGTCTTGCATGTGTGCAAGGCTCAGAGTTTGTTCCCGATCGTCATAAAAAAGGACAACGAGAATCTGAAACTGGTTGCCGTGAATCCATCTTAAGATGCACTCGGGGAGCCTTTGTTTATCTGTGGCGTAGTGTGAAGCCATCACAGTTCAGCACTGAGCATTTAGGATGTGTCAGTACATGGCCATTGTGGTCACTGACTCTTGGAGGCTCTGCCCATGGGGAGTCAGAAATAATTTCATTTTCATATCTGTTTTCATTCAGTGTCATCATTCCTAGTTGTACTCATCAATAAAATCTGAACCACAACTCAGATTGTCTTCGTTTTGGAATTGATGTTGAGATTTGCTGGGATTATAAGCAGAAATATGTCATCTGGAACTCCACAGTGACTGAGACTTGATAAGTTTGCCCCTTTGCGTCCCTATCCCAGTGATAAGACTTGGGATATATATTAAATGTTTACTTTGTCTCTGAAAGGAGCCTTTTAGCATTCGATAGTATCTATCATGGTTGTGAACAGTGAATTTAGACCTTGGAAGGTGAGTCCACTGGACTCAGAACAGCAAATTATTAAACAAATACAATAAAAATATCTGCAGATTGGTAATAGTTTAAATCCAGCATCTTGTTCATTTCAGCATTTGAAAGCTACCAGCTGCCTTTGCAATCTGGTGTTTCTGACATGAAATAATGGTAGAAATATGGCTAGGTTCCTCCTACATTGAAGACTGTGCTTGCCGAATCTGTTTCATCAGAAACTGAGAAAGCAACTATATCAGTTGAATTAATATTAAACTGGCGGGCATATGATACACAATATTTTTCCATGTGTACTCTCTCAATCAGCTTAAAACTTGTGGCCAGCAAACTAGAAGTTGAGAAAGGTAAAAAGTAAACATTACTCACACAGTCCTACATTCCATCTAAATATCACAAAGTACAAAATCAAAGCCTTAGTCATCCAGAGAAAACCTACAGTTACAACAAACTAATTATAAAAGCTGGTTCAAATTCCAAAAATTCATCAGTGGCTGTGTGAGAGGTCTTTGAGATGCCGGAGCGGCTGAGTTCTGCTCTTTGGATGCTGATTTTCGTGTTTCGTAACCGAATCATTCTTACTGTAAAGGTTAAATATGACTTCCTGTATGAGAAAGAACACATCTGCTGCTTGGAGGAGTGGAGCAGCCCCATGCACCAGAGAATCTACACTACCTTCATCCTTGTCATCCTCTTCCTTCTGCCCCTCCTGCTGCTGCTCATCCTCTATGGTAAAATCGGTTACGAGCTTTGGATCAAGAAAAGAGTCGGGGATGGCTCGGTGCTCCAAACTATTCATGGAAAAGAAATGTTCAAAATTGCCAGGTCTGTTTATTAAACTATTCCCCACAGTTTAAAATCTGTCATATTAGCTGTGCTGAAAGGACAGTTGCCTGGATAATTCAGCCTGAGCATCATTTGTGATTCAATTTGAAAGCATGGACTCACTTGAAACCAAGATGCTGTGGGGTGGTGTCAAGACCCACTGTCCTCCACCCTCACTGCCAGGAACATTAGAAATCTGCATAAAACCTTGCTCCAGAGGACCCCGAGTTCCCCACATGTACAAGGGCATGTATTTACATCTGCCCTTGGTCCTTCCCACTTGAGAATAATGTTAAAATACTGGCAGGGCATGCAAATCCCTTGAAACCCCAGAATGCAACTTATTTTAAATGATTGTGATTGATACTTGTTTTTTAACTCAAAGGCAGTGCTATCTCATTTTATTTATTATTATCAATTTCAAGACAAACTTTACTGCTGTATTTGTAGTTCCCATGACATAATCTATATGGAATGACTGTTAAAACAAGCAGTTCCTTGCCTAGATTAGTGAGTTGAGGGGATTTCATTAATTCTTCAAGTCTGCAGTGACCTCTAGTGCCCAGTTAAGAAAACTTTTCTTTGCCTGTACAATGGAGTCCAAAGATAGCTGATCACCTCCAGACCTAGCGGTACCACTTCCCCAGAGGGCAGCTGAGAACCCCCAGATCTAGTGGTACCACTCCCCAGAGGACAGCTGATCACCCCCAGACCTAGTGGTACCACTTCCCCAGAGGACAGCTGATGACCCCCAGACCTAGCGGTTACCACTTCCCCAGAAGAAAGGGTTTCTAGACTGAAACGCCAGACTTTGAATCTGGACTTTTAAAACCAAAAGCACCAAGCAAATGTGTAGATCTGTGTAATTGTAAATCTATATTTGGGGAATGAAGAAAATCAGCTTGAATCCCTGGTTGGTTATATTATAAAGTTTTAATTCTGTCCTTGAGGCTTACTGTATTTTATAAGTACTAATATTTAGTTATCAGAGGTATGGACTGCTTTAAACACACACTGAGTGAATGGAATCCACATCACTGAAGAGACACTACTAACTTTAAACCCAGAAGAGATCATTTATTAGCTACTCTATTGTGAATAAAACTTCTCTCTTCCCCAGTTTCTGCCTCTGTCCCCTGATTTATTGGGAAAATGAAAGACATGCTTACTGTGTGTCTGTAGTCTCTGGAGCGTTCTAGACTCAGGCTAAGCACTTACCACAGGGATATGTACAGTATGAAGACTGTAAAGATGGGGGAAAGCTAATAACCTGCCCACAAACAGCCTCAGGAAGTTCACCAACACTTGGAAAAAGTGTGGCGAAGTGAAGTAGGCTCCAACAGTAATGCATTTGCTATCACTCTGACACGTTTGCTGAGGCGAAGCCAACCGACGCCATGTTTCCTTGTGGGTCTAGGAAGAAGAAGCGAGCTGTGATCATGATGGTGACAGTGGTGGCTCTCTTTGCTGTGTGCTGGGCGCCTTTCCATATCGTTCACATGATGATTGAATACAGTGAGTGTCTCTGTCACTCCTTTTTTTTTTTTTGAGAATTTTTAGTTCATTTCCTACTAGAACACACATGAAATCATAGATTTCTCACTGGTTGCTGTTCACTTGAATAATCAAATATCAAACACTAAACATTGCTTTTGTGTGTTAAAGAACAACAGGTCATCATGTGATAGGTGACTGTGCACAACTAGAACTAAGTCATTAATAATTAAAAAGAAAAGATAAAGAAAAGCTTTTCCGAGTTCCTCCTATCTTGCCCCTCCTCTCCCTAAGCTATTTAGCATGGGGAAACACCTTGAGAGTCTTCTCTGTTTAGAACCTTGGCTTGTGCTCTGTGAATTGAATGTACCTAGGAGTCTAGTCAGATGTCTAGAAACAATTATCATTCATGTGTTCTCTGGGACTCAACACGATTGTTTCTGGAATGGAAGAGAACATACGAAGGGTAACTGTGCTTATGTGAAGGTTGTTGTCATTGAGCTGAAAGTCTGAATCCTGCAGTATACGCCAGGCACCAGCCACTGCATGGATGAGCACATATTACAAAGGTGTGTTTATCCAGATACCAGATGCCTTGTTCAAAGTGGTCATGAGAACATTTCACAGCCTTAGACACTTGCACAAGTGCAAATCTTTGTAAATACCTACGATAGAGATTTACAGTTATTTCTTGGTAAAGTCGACAAGTGTTCTAAAGTATTGCTTTATTTCAGGTAATTTCGAAAAGGAATATGATGAAGTCACAATCAAGATGATTTTTGCCATAGTGCAAATAATTGGATTTTTCAACTCCATCTGTAATCCCATTGTCTATGCACTTATGAATGAAAACTTCAAAAAAAATTTTGAGTCTGCAGTTTGCTGTTGCATAGTAAAAGAAACGTTCTCTCCAGCAAGGAGGCATGGAAGTTCAGGAGCTATGGCTATGCAGAGGAGAGCAAAGTTAGCTGGCAGAGAGAATCCCGTAGAGACCAAAGGAGAAACATTTGGAGACAGCAACGTCAATGTCAAGTGGTGTGAACAGCCAGAGAAGAAGAAAAAATCGCAAGTGGCATCTTGTCCTCTTTAGTTCTGAATTTCTGAGAACTCTGCTGTGGACAGGGACGTTAATTGTTAACAGTATCTTCAGAATCAGTACCTGTCATACTGTAATGGAAAGAAAATTATTTTGAGAAAAAGTAGAGCTTTCATATTAAAAATGTTGACGAGCACTTGAAAGGTTGAGGCAGGGGAATCAGTTTAAAGTAATCCTCAGCTGCATAATGAGTTTTAGGATAACCTGGGGTACAAGAGACCCTGTCTCAGGAAGCCAAAATAATAACAACCAAACTTGCTAATGATGGTGACAAAACATTTTTCCATTGAAAATACATAAGAACTACAATTTTGAAAACTTATTGGGCCATTATTGTGATTACTAGGTGTAGTTTTTTTGTTTTTTGTTTTTTTTTTACTTTTTAAACATTTTTTGTTTTTATTTTATGTGTTATGAGTGGCTTATTTGCATATATGTCTGTGTACCACATGCATGCCTGGGTGCCTACAGAGGCCAGAAGAGGGTATCCAATTTTCTGGAAATGGAGTTACAGATGGTTGTGAACTGCTACATGGATCCTGGGCATCAAACCCAGGTCCCCTGGAAGAGCAACCATCTCTCCTGCCCTAAAGTGGAGTTTTAAAAATCTTGTATAAAATTCAATATTCTTGGCTAGTAACTTTTGTCTGTGTGGTCAATGTGATATGACTTTCTATGTATTGCTAAATTGAGTGAAAACATCAACAATGCATCTTCTTCCTAGAATACTAATTTAGGAGTTGAGCATCACACATGACTGTTGAAGTTACACTAACTCTTTTGCAAATGAAGCCTGTACCAAAGCCAGTAAGCCCAAGAAGATGGAGAAGCAGCCAAGGGTACAGCTTAGCGATCTAGAACATGGACTGGAGTTTCTCACAGCCTGGGTGACCATTTCTGTGGTGACTGGCAAGTCTCTTATTGTTTTTTTTGTTTTGTTTTTTGTTTGTTTGTTTTGTTTTGTTTTTTTGTTTTTTGTCTCTTGTTTGTTCTTGTGTAAACTGAAGTTGATACCTGCTCTGCTTCATGAAGTCACTTTGGAAACTAGACACAATTAGAAAAGTATTTTGAAGAATAAAGCATTCTTGTCTTCTGAAGGAATGTCCTGCTCATGTCCCTACTTGCCCTCTTCCTGCTCTGAGTCTTGTCTTGACCCTGTCCAACTTGTCACTAATACATCCGCTTGGTTTCTCTACTCAAAAGAATAGCTTGAGGAACCTCATGTATTGACGGAACATACACACTATACATATATACAAATACGCACAACTATATAGATGCATGTATAGATGGTTTAAAATACAAATATTTGTATTATTAAACCATTTATTTTCACTAGTGAGATGAATAACCTTTCTTTAATAAAGTGTAATAGGATGATGAGGGTATAACTAAACACTACCTGTGAAATTCTGCTGTCTTGGGACTGCCCCTAAGAGATGGGTCAGGATACTCAATAGACTTATCGACCCAGATTTCTTCCCTCAAACCCTCTCTTTGGTCTTCTAACTCCCACATATCACAGACTCAGAGGCCACCATCAGAACATAGCACCATTTCCCTTCCAGCCTCTAAGATTTTCAAAGCCTAATCATAGCCTTGTAGCCTAAATGTTTCTTCTGCCTCCAGTTTCCAGTCTTGATTCCTCTTCAGCTGCTAACAGAAATGCCAAGAACACTGAGGCTGCTTTGCGGTTTAAGCTTTAAGACCTGGGAACCAAAAAACTCTGGCCACCAGCTCCTTGGTACAGACTGTTTGTGTATCAGTGAAGCACGTGTAGAAAAGATGAAGATGAAATAATGTGTGGTATTGGGGGAGGGGAAATGCCAATATGACAGGGAAATTAGCAAATAAAAGAGAGGGAGGCTGGTTTATGTGTTTGGGATTGGATTGTTTGGGTCCTGTTGTGAACTGTCTGCCTGTGTGTCTAGTTATCCTGTTGCAAAGCAGCTGCTCATTAAACACCAAACATTAAAATAAATCTGAATCATTGACTTTTTGGTTCCTATCACTTGATGCCATATCTTCATGACTTCTATTCTAAATATGACCATGGAAAACATGTTGAGTCAGCAATTATTAGCTTCTCCATTATTGAACATCAAAAAAATTCCCAAGTAGTGCAAAGCTGAGCCTAACATATTTAGATACTAGAAAATAGTGAATATTTAAAATTATGGCTGTCCACTTGTATTCTGTTGGTTATGCTTGCATCTGCATTTCCTGTTCATTTACTCAGATTTTCTATTTCCAGCATTCCCTCTGTTTGTGTCTTCTTCATTGTTTCTATTTCAATTTTAAGATCTTGAACTATTTCCTTCACATGTTTAATTGCTTTTTCATGGCTTACTTGGCTTTCTTTAAGGGGTTTATTGATTTCTTCTAATTTTTTTGTTTGTCTTTTCCTCAATTTCTTTAAGCGAAATTTTCATTTTTTCTTTAAAGGCCTCTAGCATCTTCATGAAGCTATTTTTAAGGTCACTTTCTTCTGCTTCTTCTTCATTGTGGTGTTCAGGTCTTGCTGTTGGAGGAGGGCTAGGTTCTGGTGATGCCATATTGCTCTTTACGTTGTTGTATGTACTTCTGCCTTGACATCTGCCCATCTCTTCCTCTAATAGAAACAAGAGGTGCCTGTGTCTGAGCGAGCTGCTATTGGTTCACTCTGTGTTTGTTGTGTCTGTGTCTCGGGGGCCCCTCTGGGTCCAATCTTAGCTCTGTGATAGAGAAAGGGTATGCATGTCACAGTGCACATGTGGACAATTGGGGGACTTGATTCTCTCTTGCCACCACTTGGGATCCAGTGATCACATTCAGGACTTCAGGATCCACAGCAAGTGTTTTAAATGTTGAGCCATCTCATTATTGAGCTGCAGCTGTGAAACAAATGAACTTGACTGCATCTTTCTCCTAACAAGATAAATGTTCCTTCAGGTCACAAATATATTTGATAGGGCAAAGATTCTAAGCTATTATTAGAAAAGAGAAAGTAATTTTTCCAACTAATAGAAAGGGATGTTTTATAGAAACATTATTTGAAATAATAATCTGGAATTCATAGCAACGATGTTTTAATAAAAATTTGCAAGTGGGGATAGGAATAGGTGGAATGAGCTAGGTTCCCAAGCCACTGGAAGAAACTATGATGGACTGTGCTGTTACCATCACAACAGGAAACACTGACATGAAACTGAGAGCCCTAATATTGTCTTCTGGTTTTTAAAGCAGCATTACATTGTGTCTGTCTGCAAGAGAAGAGTAATTTTATGAGTATCTTTTAATAAAATTTGGAAACAACTACTCAAAAGAAAAAAAATGATGCTATAGCCTCACCTCATCCAACTATAATAAAAATGACAGCTTTATTTATATGATTTAATGCTACTACTAACCACACCATGGTGGCCATCCTTTTGCTGGAGAAATCTTTAGCCTTGAAAGCCTTCAGATAGTTATGTGGTTAGTGATGTGCAGTGATTTGTGCTTCTCTCGTGGGCTATGTTAACCCACTAAGTCTGTGCTTCAACTTCTTCTCTTTTTAGTAATGGTTCAAGGCCGCATTCCTTGATCAAAGCATGTACTCATTAGGGCAGAGACAGGGCTGAGGAAGGTCTGGCAGGGAGACCTAGAAGGTTGCTTGACTTTCCCTCTGAGCCATCACCTCTGGAGGAGCTTCATCAAGAGTTGAGCTTTATTCTGTTCTCATTGTCTTAACTCTTGCCTCTTATGTGCAAAGGCATGTGTTAGGCCCTCAGCACTGCCAAAATAAAACAAATAAAACCAAGAGAGTGAAATAAAGTGGGAAAGGTAGATGAAAAGATAAATCGTCACTACCAAATCTCAAAAGGGGAAGTTTTCTAAGGTTACAAGCAGCACCCCTCACATTCCAGACAGAATTGTGTTGGCCATGCAGTAAGGCTGTGGTAGAAAGCATGCAATGTAGAAAGAGAAAAATAAATGTTTCTGTCTACAAATGGCTTTATAGTTTACAAAAAATTCTCAAACACACACACACACAATATAAGTGAATACAGTTATGAGATAGAAGGTTAACACTCAAGTCAACTTCATTTTTATGCTAATGAGAGAAGCTGACGTGTGTACCCACAGAAAGAGATTTGTTTTAAGGAAGTTCACGAGATGTAGAGACCAGCATGGGATGGAGTTCCTCTCAGGCTGAAGACATAGGGAAGATTTGTGGCTCCCATCCGAAGGCCATCTTCAGGGAGGCTGGGAGAAACTGGTTAGTACATTAAATCCAAATCCAATCTATTAGAGAAACACCTCGTGCTTGGAGAGGGTCAGGTCATCAATTAATCATGGGAGGCCCGCTTGTATTGTGGAATAAAGAGTCTAGAAATAGACACACGACTGCTCAGCCAGTTTCGACAAAGGCGAGACAGTCATGTAAGGCCAGAAGGAGCTTTCCAGCCAGGGGCAGAGAAACAGGTAGCAAGCCACTTGCCAAAACACTGAGCCTCAAGCTGAATCCCACAATGTGTGCCGAATTTAGCATAAAGGGAACTGATGGGATTAAATTTAAATGTGTAATTATGCAACATTTAAGGAAATACATACGTACAACTCAAGAGTTAGTAGACCGCCCCCAGAATCACCTCTTAAAAGGGAAGATTGGGAAATGGACAAGAAGGGGAGACGTTTCATTAAAGAGGATGGGGGCTCACAGATGGACAATACGCTGCCCATGGAAAAATGTTTAATGCCCTGAGTCATCAGGACAGTGCAACTTAAAACCGGAATGAGCTTGCCTACACACTAACAAAATGGGGTTTGAATTGCACTCACTGGCATGGCTGTTGTTTTTTAAATCCTTCAGAAAATAGCAAATGTTGGAGAGGACATGGAGAAACTGGAAAGCTTTGTATTGCTGGGGGTTCTTCCAAAAACACAGTATCGAACTACCGTATGATTCCCATGCGATAAACAAATCCCACCCCTGAGTATATGACTTAGAGAAGTGAAAGCAGGAGTTCCAACAGATCACTGCACTGTATTCATAGTCTCTCATCCACCACCGCCGGAAGGGGAGTGTAAGCCAGCTGCCCAACAAAAGATAAGTGAACAAATGTGATGCACGCTTGCAGGGAGGTGGTTTTCAAGATTAGGGAAGGGTGGAATCATGTTTATGCTGAAAATTAACCTTAAGATATGCTGAATGAAAAGATACAAATGCAAAGAAACAAATTCTATGAAAAGTCTCTTTCTCCCCCTTACTTCTCCCCACCTTCCCACCCATTCTCCATTCCCATCTATCTTTCATGCTGTGAATCAAATGCATAGCTTCACACCTGTTAGGAAAATTCTGTACCACTTAGCTACATCCCAGGGCTTGTATGACTCCTCTGACATGCAGTCTGTAGAATACACCAGGTTGACAGGGACTGAAAACAAAAGAGGAGCTGCAGGGGTCAAGGGCTACACCTTTCATGATTGAAATTCCAGAGATGGATAGTGATGATGAGCACTCAATAATGTGAGTACACTTGGTGCAATTTTACCAAATACCTAAAATGGCCAAAGTGGTGAATTTATTATTATATTTAACTGTATACATCAAAGCAAAGTGACAACTACACAGGCAGCATCGGGGAGATGGTTCCGTGGATAAATGTGCTTGCTGCCAAGCCTGGCAACCTGTCTGTTCTCCGTGACCACATGGTAGAGGCAGAGAATCAATTCCCCCAGAAAATCAATTCCCCTCTGGTCTCCACCCACGTGATGTGGCACACATATGCCTCCCTCCAACCACACGTGCACTCACGCACATAAAGCAAATAAACAAAAATATAATGAAAAATCTAAACATAGAATTATTTTATGACTGAGCAACCCCATTCTTGGATATTTATACTAGAAAAATTGAGAACTTGTGCTCAAACAAAGCATGGCACACAAATACTTCACTCGCAATAGGTCAGACCTGGACCCAGCTGAGGTGTTCTCCAATGGATGACTGTCTAGACAATGTGTGAACATACTAAACATAATAAATGTATGTTAATAATTTTAACTTTAAAAATAAGTATACAAAATATGGATATTGACAACATTTGATACAGAAGCAAAAAGTAAATTACTTCAATAGTAAAGAAAATTATTGATGTTTATAATCTATCATTGGCTTATATCCAAGAAATATTCAATGACAATGGCAGAAGTGATATCTAAAACTCACCATAGGAATGATGGAGTTTTGCCCATAGATCCCTGACGGTTCCTAAGATACTCTGTGTTGATTCTGACACAAGCATTGATGGTGATGCTGTCACAGGGGGTAGCACAAATCAAGACAGCAACACTGACCACAGCAATTGGTTATCTGATTCTAAAGACCATCTCTGAAACATACACCATTAACTATAGAGATGAGCAGGGTGCATTAGGAATACGTATGTATGTACATATACACAGATGCATACAGCAACATGAAAGAGGCCTTGGATTTGAAAGACAGCAGTCATGGTACACATTCTGAAGACAGTGTTATAATTGGAATTCTGCAGAAATGCTTTAAATATACTTTCAGTTGCATCACACAGAATATTAAGAGGTGTCTCCAAGCATCATGGAACAATTGTATTTGAAAGAAATTACAGATGAGTTATGTTTATTCAGACTTGGGTACTTGGCAGATTTGTTTCTTTGAAACTAATGGAAATTATCTCATCATCTCATCAAGGGAAACAATTTATCTGTTTCCAGTGTTTAGAAAAAATAGATTGGAAATATATAAATATATATGCACACACACACACACACACACAAACACACACACACACACACACACACACACACACACACACACACACACACACACTAAAGGTTGACCACTTTCCAGTCCTGCTTCCATGTTTTTGGTAAGAGTTGTGGTACTATTAACAAATGAAAGTTTAGCATTATCTGAAAAGCTGATAACATTTAGGAGATCTACATCACCTTTAAATCAAT